CTGGGCTGGAGGAAACCAAACCAAACCCAGAAAAACTGCAAATTGTGCCAGATGGAGGAGGGTGTTTATGAGGGGCCCAGGCAGGCTCGGGGGGCTGGGGGCTGGTGAGGGCTCCCGTGGGCCCAGCGCTGTCCCCGAGGACGTCCCGCCATCCTCTGCAGCCCACAGCTGATGGCAGAGCATGTGCGTTACTGTGACCTTCAAACCTGTTGCTGCAGAATTAGTGTTACTTCAGTGGTGAATGTTTTTAATTTCCGTATCTTCGGCTCTGAAGGCGCTCCCAGGTCTGCCCAGGATGCTGCTGGAGGGTCTCCAGGGCTGAGGGGCACCCTGGGGCTGTGGGCACGTGCAGGGGCTGCTGCGGGGGGAGTCACATCTTTTCTGTTTAGGACTTCTGTGTCTGTGTTGGGGTGACACTCGTGTGTGGAGCAGGCGTTGCTGGACACTGAACAAACTGGGTGGCCCTGGAGGGGACCTGTGGGGAAGCCAGGGCTGGCACCAGGCAGCCTGGGTGGCAGCTTTGGGATTGAGATCCATGTTCTGGGGAGAGTTTGGCAAAGGCTGGGTCCTCTTCATAGGGCTCGTACCTTCATTATTCCTGACGTTGTCCATTCTGCTGCTTGCCAAACTCTTATTTCAAGGTTTATTTCCAGATGACCTGTTTCTTCTGTGGAGAAACATGTAATGGGATGTGCCTGGCCCTGCACAGACACTCAGATCTGTGTGGACTCCTCCAAGGAAGGGCAGGGTGACAGGGGTTGAGTCACTGTTTACTGTAATTTGATGATTTAATCTTCACTATTGGATGGGGAGAGCAGAGCTGCAGGAGGATGCTCAGAGCTGAGTTTCAGGAGAGCCCCATTCACCAATCCCCAGGTGCTCTAATGATGGAGAAAGCCCAGTAAATCCATACCAGTAAATCCATACCTGGAGCATGTGGTATCCCCACTGCTGTGTGTGTGTGTGTCAGAGCAGTGCTGGGGACAAGGGCACAGTGTGAGGCAGGAGAAGGATGCTCGTGGGGGACAGAGGTGGCACCTCAGCCTGCTGATGCAGGGGGGCTTGCTGGGTGCCCCTGGCCACTTGCTGCTGCTGGGGGAGTGGGTGCAGGTCTGGTGTCCCCCCTGGATGCAGTGGGACTGGCAGCAGGGCCCTGCAGTGGCAGAGGGGGAGGGCTGAGGGGACAGGACATGCGCTGCAAAGGTGGCAAGCCCTGTCTTTGTGCGGGGCTGGATTACATCCTAGTGCTGCAGGTAAGTGGGGTTCAGGCTCTCAGGTGGTTTCCCTGGGACAGGATGGATCAGACAGTTCCACCTTGGCTGGTGGCTGCTCCATGCACAGAACCTGCCCCACTCCTGCTCCCAGTGCAGCTCTGTTTGCATGGGGCTGGGGACCTGCTGCTGCACTTGCCTCCCCTGGTTGGAGCCCTGAGCAGCCTTCTCATGCTGAGTCCCATCACCCAAGGAGTTATTGATTGATTTAATCCATTTAATAAATAAATGCAAGTTTGCACAGTGGCCAACCCATGTAGACAGAGAGCCTCAAGGGTGGAAGATGAGCAAGCACAGGGCAGTCAACGTGCTCTGATGATTGTGAATCCCAGAGCTCTGATCTAAGGGAAGAACCAGGGGAGTTCTAGCACAGAACACAAGGATCACGCTGTTCCAAAGGTTAGGATTGCACCTGGAGGGTGGAACTCTCTCCCACTGCTGAGTTCTGTGACTTGCCCACGGTGGCAGGAGCAGGTGAGCCTGTCTGACCACACGCCTCTGGGTCCGTGCATGGAAGTGTCACCCAAGCTGTTTATTTCTGATCACATTCAAAGTGGCAAGTAAAACAAGGAAAAAAAAAAGAAAAATGTTTATTGTTGAACAGTTTGTGTTTGTGCATTTGATTTCACCTGCAAGTATTTGATGACTTTTCTACATCCTAGACTACCTGCTGTGTGTTGTCAAACGGTTCTCATTAAGATCTCCTTTTAGATGGGCATATACTCTTGATTCGATTTGCTGCATGTATGAGAAAATAAAATATATAATTTTAAAGAAACCTTGAGAACTTGGCTTCTTTGCCCATGAGCCTCCAGGGGCGAGCCAGTGGCTGGGCATGCCCGAGGGTCCCAACCAGGGATTCTGGGGACTGGGGTCACCAGGAGGGGCCCTACAGAGCCCTGGCATAGCAGGAAATGCTGAGAAGTTGTAGGGTTTTGGTCAAAAAGCTGCATATCTGAACAGCTGGAGAGTATCAGCTGATGAAGCTGCCCAAGTGCAGGTCCCAGAGTGGAGACCTTCAGCTGCACTTTGAGGTACAGATGGACCAGGGGGAGCAGGGGAAGGTGCAGGTTGTTTGCATCTTCAGTTAATTGCTAGTTAATGGGTTAAGGCTGCTGCAGAGGCTCTTCCCACCACCCTGTGAGCACTGGTTCCCAGGCTGGGTAGCTGGTGCAGGGCTGTGGGGCTGAGCTGGTGGCACTGAGGGCTTGGGTGCCCAGCAGCCCCTCTGTGGGCACCATGCCTGGCAGCGAGGTCAGGGGGCTGCAGGTGAGGGCAGGTCAGGGCTCTGCAGAGCTGATCTCAATCCTCTGGGATCCCCCAGAGCCTGCACGTGCTCCAGGGCTCGTGGGGGTTCCTGGCCGAGTGCAACATCGCACTCTGCTCGCTCCCAGGAGAGCTCCACAGCTTGTACCTGCCTTTCTCCATCGAGGAACTCTGCTTTTTTAGGAAGTGTCCATGTGAAAGCTGGTGAGTGTGTTGGGAAGGGCTTCTCCTCCTCTCTTTGGGGACTTCAGCTAAGCTTTCAGTAAGATGTCCTCATCTCTTCCACCTAGTGTGGCAGGTGGTCACTGGGAACCACCCCAATTCACCTGGGGGTGGGAAAACTGCCCTGCTCAACCAGCCCCAGCATTGCCCAGGTACCCCAGCATTGCCCAGGTACCCCAGCATTGCCCAGGTACCCCAGCATTGCCCAGGTACCTCAGCATTGCCCAGGTACCCCAGCATCCCTCCTCCCACTGGGCAGCCCTGCTCTGTCTGCCCCTGCCAGGCCCTAGCCCCTGCTGCCTCTGCTGCTGCACTCAGCCCCCAGCTGTGCCAGGGAAGGTGCCCCCCAGCCCCAGTGCAGGGTTTCGGGGTGCCTGGTTGAGCCCCTCCCCAGATTCACTGCCGTGCCCTTTCCCAGCACGTCAGAAACGCTCCTGAGCTTTGCTTCTCTTGGCTTGTGTAAGTGAAACATTTGGTTTTGTGACACTTTCCTTAATTATGGGAGCTAATGACAAAACCATTGTGACAAATGACTCAGCTTTTGATAGTGAAGTTAATTAATTCTGAAGTTCGAGCCTCCATTGGAGTATCTGGAAAAACCCGATTAGGAAGTCTGCTTCCCCAGCGTGACACGGGCAGCAGGAACCCGGTCCCTGTGACAGCCAGGTAAAGCCCTCCCCACTGCTGCAAGGGATGATCCACCCGGAGCGAGGGGATTAAAGGGCAGACATCCCAGTGCTGCCTCCTGATCCGTCCGTCCATCCATCAAAGCACCCAGGGAAACGCAGCCTCATTAGCGTCGGAGTGAGTGACCAGGAGCAGCTCTGCGTTGGGCGCTGACCTTCAAGAGCGTCTCCCTGAAGCCATCTTTCATCTCTTTCATTTGCATTACAATCCTGTTTGCCTCATTATTCCTTATCCACTTCTTCTTCAAAGGATTTAAATCAAATCAATTAAATTGCGGCGGCTGGAGCAGCAGTGAACCTTTCCTTGTGGCTCAGCGTGGTCCAGCTGGACCCGGCTACAGAAGGGGTTTAATCTTCTGCTATTTGTTCTTTTATTGCTTCTGGGGTACCACAGCCCACAGATCCCTTTGGTAATAGTCTGTCCTTCCCACCACCCATCCCATGCAGACATTCTCCACGTACAGGCTGGTCTTTGTATGACCTTGGGGAAGGGATTCTCTTGGCTTCCCTCACAGAGCCTGGGATGGGGATGATGGGGAGCTGCTGAGCTGCCCAGAGCAGCTGGAGGAACCCTGGGGCACTGCCATAATGGTTGCTGTCCTGTGTCATCCCTTTCCCTCTTCTCAGCTTGTTTTGTCTGCCAGGGAATCAAAGAACCATGGAACCGTTCAGGTTGGAAAAGCTTTCTAAGACCATCGAGTCCAACTGTTCCCTCAGCACTGCCAAGGCCACTGCTAACCCCTGTCCCCAGGTGCCACATTGACATGACTTTTAAGTCCCTCCAAGGACGGGGACTCCACCACTTGACAACCTGTTGGTGAATAAATTTTCCCTAATATTCCATCTAAACCTCCCCTGGTGCAACTTGAGGCAGTTTCCTCTTGTCTTGTTACTTGGGAGAAGAGACTGACCCCCACCTGGCTACGCCCTCCTGTCAAGGAGTTGTTGAAAATGCATCGGTACAGAGGAAAAAAAAGCTGATGGAATGTCACAAGTGTGGGCAAAATAACAAGGATTTAGGCACGCAGCTGCTGCCAGTGTGGTCGCCCAGTCCCCGGAAGCTGCTGCTGCTGGCCCACGCACAGCCACCCCTGCTCCCTCTGCATCTCAGAATAAAGAGGCTTAATCAGAATGGATTTCTGTTCCTCCCCTGCTATTTTTGTTGCTACTCAACTGTCGGAAGTCCAGCAGAGAGTGTGGAGCAGGGAGGGAACTGCACCAGCTCGCACTGAGTGAACCAGCTCGTGCCACCAGCAGCAGGGCTGGGGGCACATGTGGCATCACTGCCTTTTGTCACTCCTAGAACCCCGCTGAGCTCAGCAGCACATGACACAGGGGCACACCAGCCTCCCCACTGGAGTCCTGTTGGAGCCAATGGATTGCACCCAGCACTTCCAAAGCATGTACAGACATAAATAATCCCCTCATGGGAGTGGGGAAGGACGAACACATGTGCCAAAGGCTCTGGAGCCCTTATCCCCTCACAGCCCCTGGGAGCAGGGAAATGAAGTGAAGACTAGGCAAGGCTGGAGCGTCTCTCTGCATCGCTAATGACCCAAACTCGCCTTGTATCAGCCTCTCTTCCTTCAAGGAAAAACCTAATCCAGCTGGGGATTATTTCTGACTACTTACTTCCTGTCACTTTGCCAGTTTAAATGCAGCAGAGCTTTCATGGCTGGATTTGGGAGGACAAAGCCTAACAGATCTTGTGTTAGGACATTTTTGCCTGCAAGGACAGCCTTCTTCTCACAAGAGTCATACAATCTTTGCAGTGTGGGCTGGATGTTGTTATCTGTTTCTACTTTGCCCAGTGCAGAAGGGTCTGGGACCAGGAGCAGGTGGGTGCCAATGGATAGGGCAGGGAACAGCAAGAGGTGATGGAGCAGGAGCTGGAGGAGCTCAGAGTGCCCAGGGCAGGGTGCCAGGCTGAGACCCTGCCCGCCACTGTCTGAGCTGCAGAGCAGGACACCAGGGGCCCCAAATTCTTGTTCATTACAAATCTGCCCTGGGGCAGCTGCTCCAGACAGAGCTCTGAGCTTGCTCTTGGGGCTGACACTCCATTCATGGAGCAGCGAGAGGGCTTGGCAAGGGTGCCCCCACCACCAACCCTACAAGGGCCAACACGATCTGCCATGGACTTTGCTTCTGTTTGAGCTCGCTTTGTTCAAAGCCTAGGAAACGGTACATGTGCACTCTGCTCACACCTACACACGCTGTGTTAAAATAACACAATTAAGGCTGCAAAATCCCCCACTCGCAACGCAATTTGCAGCCCCTCAGCTGTGGGTGGGAGATATCTTTGCTGCCTCTGCGCGGGCCGGGCCCGGGGGTGCTGCGTCAGGCGCTGCCCCACGCGCTGCGGGGGGAGCGGGGGAGTGCCGGGGGTGGCAGGATGGGGGGCGTCGGGCATGGCTCAGGCAGATGCCCCAGGGAAACTTGGGCTCTTCCTGTACTGTGCCCCAAACCACCTTTGTGGTACCCGTGGGATTGTTTAGGACTGGGGGGGCTTATGGAAATGATGGAAAGTGGGTTTTTACATGGGTAGATAGTGACAGTACAAGGGGGCATGGTTTTGAGTTACAAGAAGAGAGGTTTAGATTAGTTATTAGGAAGAAATTCTCCCCTGTGAGGGTGGGGAGGCCCTGGCACAGGTTGCCCAGAGAAGCTGTGGCTGCCCCTGGATCCCTGGAAGTGTCCAAGACCAGGTTGGATGGGGCTTGGAGCAACCTGGGCTAGTGGAAGGTTTCCCTGCCCGTGGCAGGGGGTGGCACTGGATGGGCTTTAAGATTCCTCCCAACCCAAACCATTCTGGGGTTCTATGATTCTATGACCAGTGTCCCCTGCCACACGTAGGGCTCATCTCAGTGTCCAGCCTGTGACACCAAGATGTGACCTGTGACCATTGTGTGCCACTTCAGCACCAGTCCCAGGAACTGCTCAGGGATAACCCCTCCTCAAAAAATGCACAGGAAAGGTGGTTGGGTGGGTGCTGCTGACCCCAACCCTTGTGGCCCCATGCTCACACTCCTCAGAGGGCTGTGTCCTCCCCCAGCCCACAGAGCGCTGCCGCTCTCCGGATGGAAATGCTGAGAATCAGGAGCTGGTGCTGTTCGCCCAGAGAGCCTGGGCAGAGCTGCACCGCCTCCAGCCTGAGCTGGGAACCAGGCACGGGGCCCGTGGGGAAGCAGGGAATGAACCAGGGTGATCCACGGCCGGGAGCCAGCGGGAAGCCGGGGAGGGAGCGCGGCGGGGCAGCAATCAGCGTATCCTGCCTGGGGAGTAGCACAGACGGTGATTTCAGGTTGAGGAGCTACTTAATTTTCACGTTCTTAATTTCTCGGTACCTTCATAATTTTCTGTTTGCCTTTTTGGAGTAAATAACTAGTAATTCCATGCGAGTGCATACAGATGAGGGCTGGGGAAGCACACGCCGTCGCGTAAATCTTTCGCTTTCCGGTCTCACCCGTGGCCCTTACAGGACTGTGAATTCAAGAGGTAAGTGTGTTCTAGGGCTTGTTGGAAAGGTCGTATGAGTCATGGGCTCATACAACCGGCTGAGGAATGTTTGAGGGAGATGAGGAGACAGTGGAGAGGAAGTGGACAGGGGGATTGACTGGTGGGAATGGTTCAGGAGCGGGTTGCGGGTATCAGGGATGTTCGGGATGAATTTGTGCTTGGGCAGGGGTTAAACACGGTGTCCCCGGGGCACGGACAGTCCTGTGTCAGTGTGGGCAGGGGCTGTGCCCTCCCTGGGTCTGCTTTGTGGGTGTGTGGCCCCCAACCCCTCGCACCGGATGCCACCCGGTGCCCGGTACCGGTGCAGCAGTTCCAGCGCTGTGCGGACTGGGGGGGGAGGGAGCCGAGTTGCCCCTTGCCGGGGGGCTGCGGCAAGTGGGCGTCTGCCGGGACTGTCTGCGGTACTGGCACCCTGGGGTGGGCATTCCCACCCAGTCCCGGTCCCGGTCCCTTGTTACAGTCCCGGTACGGTTCCAGAACCCCGGGAAGGGGTCCCCGGGGCAGTCCCTGTCACTGTCCCCACTCAGTCCCGGCACCCAGCCGTAGGGTTCCCCGGGGCCGGGCCGGGTATCCTGGGGTAGGGTCTCTCTCCCGATGCGCCGGGGCAGTCCCGATCTCAGCATCCCGGAGTGGGGTTCCCGGAGCAGTCCCAGTCCCCGCCCAGTTCCGGC